CCTGTTTCTGCTTCCAATATGTCTCTGATTAACCCTTCATGCCTAAGAAGGTGTACTACTAACCTACCTCGCCTATTTTTTGACTTATTGACTTCCTTGTTAGTGACAAAAATTTTTAGTCTCTCTCCAGTCTCTCAGAGTCTTTCAGCGTCTCTGAGAGCATCTCTCACAGTCTCTCAGTTATTGCCTAGGTGTTTTTATGGATCTCTCACAATCTCTGTATGAGAGACTCGAACGATAAAATTGTTAATTCAGAGATTCGAGTCTCTCACAGAGAGACTGAATTAATAAAACTGAAAAATTGAGTGACTCGAGTCTCTCGTAGAAAGACTGGGATCTCTGAAATATGTTGAACTTGGAAAATTTTAACCATGTCTTTCGAGACACCACTTATTGAAAGATTCGAGTCTCTCGTTCAGAGACGCTAAACAGTTTTTTTGACAGTTGCTCGACAGGCTCTCTCAGTGACACCACAGAGACTCAATGAGAGACGGAGACTCGAGTCTTGCTTTCAGACACTCAGAGAGACTGAACATTTTTATCTCGGTTGCTGTCCTACTTTTTTCTGATATCCTCATTTCTAACCTTCTCTATCCACGGTATCTTCATCATTCGCCTTTAATATCACATTTCGGGGGGGCACACCTATCACATGTATAAACTGACAATTAAATCTACCTTGTAGGGGCTCGATGAGGCAAATCTGTTTGAAAATACGGTTGGTAAAATGAAAAACTTATAAAAAATGGTAATAATCCCCTTGCCCAATTATGTCGTCGTTTTCATGCTATCTTTTACATTGCAACGAACCAACAAGTGTACTTCCTGATATTGTTATTAAAAGACAACTAAAACCAGACGTATCAGGTCGAACAAAAGCAAAACGGTTGCAATTTAAAGTATTATTAACTACAAAACAGCCCAATAAAGAATCTTACTTAAGAGCAAACAAATTTTACAAATAAGTGATATACGTATATATTGTATTTTTTTCATTAATAATAAAGTTCATTTTTCCAAAAATTTTNCTAGTGTGGCTACCCACTTACGGACCCTACCTGCACCTCACTCAAAATTCTAATCGGGTATTTATATAATTGTTAGACATTAATGTGAAATTGCTTTAACTTCCATTCACCACAGACTACCTTAAGATAACGAACGAACAAATATATTTTTTTTAAACTAATAGCAAAGTAGTGATGATGAAATTTCGGACGTTTCTACATTTGATAATATACATTTAAAAAAAAAGGGAACCAATAAAGGTAACATTTACTCTTTCATAAATACATGCTTCAACTATTCCATCCTATACCTACTTAAAGTGAAAAACCTATTCATCCATGAATAGCTGAACCCTAACATAAGTTTCATTTTTCTTGTCTGCTTGTAGCAGATACGGGGTTAAAAATGTCCCTTCAGGAGTATGTAAACGTCTTTCTTCCGTAGACGATCTCAAATATAAGAAAAATAAACATACAGATCGCTTTTATAGTTTCATAACATCAACTGGCAAAACCAACCGCTTTTTTTGAAATGACCTTTGTTTATTTTATTTTACCAGGGACCGTTGTATAAACTAGTTAGTAGAATAGTAACTTTTTCAAAATTCACTGTATTTACTTTTCTTTTATCTGTATTTATGAAACGCAAGAAAGAACAACATAGGTTTACACTCATCTACAGCACAGAGATTGAAACTCTTTCTCATCATCATAAGGTCGTCAGTCTTAAGATTGGTTGGACACGTACCTACACTCTTTCCTATCCTGAGCTAATCTAGCATTTCCCTAAAACTAGAACAACCCACATCCTTAACTATTTGCGAATAGTAATCTAATCTAGGTCTACCTCTACCCCTCCTAACTCCCGTTTCTGCCACTAATATGTCTCTGACTAGACCTTCATGCCTGAGAAGGTTTCTTACTAACCTATCTCGCCTATTTCTTATTGACTTCCATAGAGTCCTCTTCTCTCATATTCTTTCTAATATCTCTCATTTCTAACCTTCTCTATCCACGGTATCCTCATCATTCGCCTGTAACACCACATTTCGAACGCTTCTAACCTTTTCTTTTCTGGCGCGCCCACCGTCCATGTTTCGCACCCGTACAGCGCCGCACTCCAAACATACACCGTTAACAATATTTTTCAAATTTCCAAATTAACCGTTCGCGAGCATAGGAGTGACTTCTTTTTATTGACTTCCTAGATACCTACAATCAGCCACTTCTTCTAATCTTTCATCTCTTATCTTTACATTCGCTCTTTTTCTGCTTATTCTTCCCTTGCATACCGGTATGTTTGTTTTACTCTTATTTATTTTTATACAAATTTTACTAACGTACAATTTTTCACACATAATGCAAAATTGTTTTAATTATACAATTACTATTAAAAGACTAACCCTTTTCTATTTTAGTAAAATATTTGAAAACTGTACTAATTATTCATTTTCAGGAACTAGCTTACTCTTTTTTTTATATACAACTTCAAGTTGTCTGCGCGCAAAATTTATCGCGAGACAGATAGATAAATTGATAAGCTCTAACAATTTATTATTATGCTTTTGTGTACATTTGAATATTTACTTATTTAGATATCATCACTGTTAGAATTAATCTTTAACAAGCACTATTTTTTTTTTGAATTTTTAAATTGATTAACAACTTTAAAACACGTGTTAAATTTTTAATTGTCGTAAGAAATAATGATAATATATTTAAATATTGTTAAATATTATTAAATAAATGACTTCATCTTTTAACAGAATTTAAGGTCTCTACTTCGTTAGAACCTTCAAAACATTATGAAGGTTGCATCTACCATTGGCAGTCTGAATTCTACATTCACTTTTCAATTTTCATAAAAAATAAGTGATTATTTGCGAAATTTAACACCAATAACGTAAGACAGAAAGTAATAATTTGTTTGACAGCAATTCAAATGATTAAATAAAGTTGATCATAGAAACTACCGTACTAGTTGAATTGAAGATAATTACCTACTGATACCCTTGTTTTAATTATCTTTAATTCAAATGATTAAATTTAATGTGATAAATGAAATATATTGATGTAAATGGAGAGATTTTCGACAGTATTTCTGAAATCAGTTCAAAAATATATGATTTATGAATTTTTAAAAATACTGTTAATCATTCTCGCACATCCTGTAGTAATACTGAGCAGTGACAAATATGTTTGATAACTATTTCAACCCTGTATCTTTGTCAATTTCCAAGATAGTCTAATTTCGGTTTACGAATTAATTTTCAACGTTCTAGGGCAGAGTTTCTGTCATGTCCATGTCATGAGTAGGTATCAGGATAATCTACAAATTATTCCATTATTTATTAAGATAATAATTAAAATACCAACTGTTTGTTTCACTTTTCCTGCACTGAAACGGGCGCTCGGTTAGCACAAAATAATTCTACAATTCTATTCGAAAAGGGCCCGTAACATTTCTGGAGTTTTGAGTGGTCCACGACTACAAAAACTACCCCGCTGTAGAATATTAGTTTCTAAAATAGAAAAGAACAGTCAAATACCCAGTTATCTGGGAATGCTGTTACCACAGGGAGAGGTAAAAACAGCTTCAAATTATACTAAAAATCCCTTATATATTTTAGGGGAATAAATGTAGAAGTATTGATTTTTCCATCATTCAAATTTATTTATAAACTAAGTAGCAAACTTTTCAATTTAGTTTAGCAAAGAAATGTGTATGTAGTCTTTGTGTCCCTGTCGAAAAGTTTTATTATCGTAGCAAAGTTAAGTAATAATTTGGTAAGGTGATCGTCCTAATCGGGACTCATTAAAATATATTCCTTTAATTTTTCGAAGTAGGAAAGCTAGCGTCTTGTCGAACTACCGGCACAATTTTTCATTTAAAGAAATCCTTCGGATATAAATAGATTTTTATGTATAGTTATGTGCTAAAGAAGGGTTGACTAAATAAACTTTTTGCTCATTTTACATTTTAATTAACATTGCTAATGATTTGTCAATACATAACATAAATTAGTATAAATACACCTAAATAAATATTATAAAAAAACTTTATTGGGTACTTTTACAAATGCTTTACGTATTCTTTGACAAAGTTAACCAAACTGAAAATTTAACATAGGTATATAATTTAATCTGTTAATTACAGTAAAAAGT